CAACCGGTCAAGTCAACAGTACATGCAATTAATGAAGCTGTCTTCTACACTCCAACGGGAAGACTGCTCCCAGTATATAAGATACACTCTGAAGAACTAAGAAGATAACTTTGCCAAGATAACTTTGCGTAAACAACCTTCTTGAGATTAAAACTTCATTCTTAGACAAGAAAAGGCTCCAGTTGGAAGATATACTTTCTTATCCTTCATCCAACTAGCAAACTGCAAAGTTACTCAGTTCTTCAACACTTCGAGAGCTTCATATACTCATCCTTTGTGAAGAAGCAACGTTGGAGAAAACTGATTTTATATCAAACACTTCTTGAAAAAGAAGGGACGTCTCAAACTAGCTGGAGTAAGTGAAGTGGGGATACTTCAAGAGACTCAGTGAAACGAGACCAGCCATCAGGAAGCAGGACTGCATCCCGGGTGGCAACTAGACTTGAAGAAGACGAGGAGTGCTTCTTAAGCTCTAGGGACTAAGGCGTTGTAAACTGTTGTTTTTGCAAGCTTAGTGGAACAGTGGACTAGAGGAACAAGTTGTTCCTTGAACCACTATAAAAACCCCGGTGTCATTTACTTTTAGCTTTTATTTCCTGCACTTAAGATTCCACTGACTAACTCTTAAGGTTGGACTCTGTGTCCAGCAGATCTTCCTTCAGAGTTATCAGAAAGGCATTTTGCCTTAGTTTTCTTCTAGAGGCTACCCGGACAGAAACCTATCCGCTGCCTGGTCTAGTTCTGCCATCAGAACTTGACCATCTCTGTCACCAGATTTCGACCATCTCTGATAAGTCAGACTTGACTTAGAGAAAAGTTTAAATTCCTGAACAGTCTATTCACCCCCCCCCCCCTCTAGACTGTTCCCATTGCAAACGGGACCAACACAAAGAAAAGAGTCTCACAGAAGTGAGGGTGGTGAGTGAGTATCCAGAATTTTCCCTAAAGAACTCCCGGGACTCCCACCAGATCGTGAGATCGAGTTTGTGATTGAGGTGGAACCAGGGACAAAACCCATCTCAATTCCTCCGTATCGAATGGCACCGGCCGAACATCAAGAGTTGAAAGTTCAACTAGAAGAGCTACTAGATAACGGATTCATTAGACCGAGTCATTCACCATGGGGGGCACCCGTACTCTTTGTAAAGAAGAAGGATGGTACAATGAGAATGTGTATCGACTACCGTCAGTTGAACAAAGTCACGATAAAGAACAAATATCCTTTACCAAGGATTGATGACTTGTTTGATCAGCTACGGGGAGCAACCGTGTTCTCTAAGATCGACTTGAGATCAGGCTACCATCAACTGAAGATCAAGGAGAGTGACATACCCAAAAGTGCATTCCGTACAAGGTATGGTCACTATGAGTTTCTAGTAATGTCGTTTGGGCTTACGAACGCCCCGCGGCATTCATGGACCTCATGAACCGAGTATTTCACCAATACTTGGACCGGTTCGTCATTGTATTCATAGATGACATCTTGATATACTCCATGAATGAAGAAGAACACGAGAAACATCTAAGACTTGTGCTTGAAACACTGCGGGAGAAGCAACTCTTTGCCAAATTCTCTAAATGTGAATTTTGGCTTCGGGAGATCGGTTTTCTCGGGCACGTGGTATCTGGATCGGGCATTTCAGTTGATTACTTGAAGATTGAAGCAGCCATAAATTGGGAAAGGCCCAAGAATGTGAAGGAAATACGGAGTTTCCTCGGTTTAGCGGGGTATTACCGCAAATTCGTGGAGAAGTTCTCGGTGATAGCATCTCCACTCACGAAGCTCACTAAGAAGGGGGCTAAATTTGTGTGGGATGACAAGTGTGAGAAGGGGTTTCTTGAGCTAAAGAAACGTTTGACTGAAGCTCCAATGCTTGCCCTACCCGTGCAAAGGTTAGGGTATGACATCTACAGTGATGCTAGTATCCAGGGGCTTGGATGCGTACTGATGCAATCAGGGAAGGTAATTGATTATGCTTCTCGACAGTTGAGAAAGCATGAGGTAAATTACCCCACACATGATCTGAAGCTGGGGGCTGTGGTGTTTGCATTGAAGATTTGGAGGCACTACCTTTACGGAGAGTTGTGTCACATCTATACCGATCACAAGAGTTTGAAGTATGTGTTCACTCAGAAAGAGTTGAACATGAGGCAAAGGAGATGGATGGAGTTGATCAAGGATTACAACTTGATTATTGAGTATCATCCAGAGAAGGCTAACGTGGTTGCCGATGCTCTTAGTAGGAAGAGTTCATCAGGGTCTTACTCACATGCTTACAAGCATTGAGGGCACGCGTGGAAGTATCCATGGATAGGGCGTTGTTGGCCAGGTTTGAGGTGAGACCCACCTTATTAGATGAAATCAGAATATGTCAGGGCAATGACGAGGAATTTCAGAAAATATGGGAACGGATGCTTGTGGGGCCCGTCGAGGGTTTCAGTGAGAGAGAAGATGGACTTCTACTGTTCAAGGAACGAGTGTGCGTGCCATCGGATGAGGAGCTCCGTAAATCTATCCTTGAGGAGGCTCACTCATCTGCGTATGCCATGCACCCGGTCAGTACAAAGATGTATCGGGACTTGAAAGAAAGTTACAGGTGGTCGGGGATGAAGAGAGAGATTGCAGAATACGTGAGTCGTTGCCTCACCTGTCAACAGGTTAAGGCAGAGCACCAACACCCAGCAGGGTTACTACAACCACTTACCATTCCAGAATGGAAGTGGGATCATGTTACCATGGACTTCGTGGTGGGCCTACCACGAACGGTTAGGAACTACGACACGGTATGGGTGGTGGTTGATAGGCTGACCAAGAGTGCTCAGTTCCTACCGATCAACACTACTTATACGCTTGAACGACTGGCCAAGTTGTACACAGATGAGATTGTGAGACTGCATGGGGTTCCGGTTACTATAGTATCGGATAGAGACCCACGGTTCATATCACGGTTTTGGCCTAAGTTCCAGGAATCCATGGGTACGAAATTGAGGTTTAGCACCGCATTTCATCCTCAAACGGATGGGCAATCTGAACGGGTGATTCAGATTTTGGAAGACATGTTGAGGGCATGTGCCTTGGAGTTCCAAGGAAGCTGGGACAATCAGTTGGCTTTAGTGGAATTCGCCTATAACAACAATTATCAGGCGAGTATAGGCATGCCTCCATACGAAGCATTGTATGGGAGGAAATGTCGGACACCTTTGTGCTGGGACGAGGTCGGCAAGGCTAAGCTTGAGGGCACAGAGCTAGTCGAGATCACCAAAGAAAAGGTAAAGGTTATTCAGGATAGGCTCAAGGCTGCCCAAGACCGGCAGAAGAGCTATGCAGATAAACGTCGGAGGGCGTTGGAGTTTGAGGTCGGTGATGAAGTATTTCTGAGGGTGTCACCTTGGAAAGGGATCATCAGGTTCCTCAGTCGAGGTAAGCTTAACCCACGTTATATAGGTCCGTTCAGAATCCTTGAGAGGATTGTGGTTGTAGCGTACCGAATTCAGTTGACTCCAGAATTAGAAAAAATTCACAATGTATCAAACGGGGCCCAATTATCAGTATCGACAATTTATCAAATAACAGCCCGAAAAAGGATTTCGGAGACTTCAAAAATTAAGTTGAGGAATGCATATTCCTTCTAAGGTCCAATAAGGATTGGGAACATGTGTTATATTTTATTTGACCCGATAAAATGAAATATAATTAAAACAGTCCGGAAAATACAACTTTCGGGACCGATTGTACACTCCGGGATACAAAGGGTTGACCTTCCAAATAAGTGGGGGCCAACCCATGATTTTAGCTCTGCAAGGAGGGCAGGGGAGGCGTATGAGAGCTGTGAATTGAGGCTGAAGTGATGGAGAGACCAACTTGATCACCCAAGGGCCCCCTATACACATTATTTGTGCTATTGAAGACAAAAGTGGGGGGGTTCCTTCAACCACCCTCATTCAACTCGACTAAAGGATCCAAGAAAGAGGGAGAAGCTCTCCAAGAACACCATTTCATCCACCATTTTCGCACCAAGGCTAAGGAAGAAGAAGGAGAGAAATAGAGTAGAGAAGAGAAAAGAGGAGGTTGGGGAGGAAAACTTGAGATTAACAAGGTAATGACCCCGTTAATCCCATTTCGTCTTCTTTAATCTTTTCATATGATTATACACTCACATTTCACACCCTAGGATTGTTCTACACGTTTGGAAGTGTAGAATGAGGGGTTGGAAGGTAGTTCTAGGTCCAAGAACGGACTTAGAAGTCAAAGTCACCGGTTCGCCGGAAAATAACCTTTTGGAGGTTATTTGTATTAATATGGGTTTTATGATAATAAAACCTTGTTAGTAACTTGTCTAAGGTATTCAAGGAACTTTCACGGAGTTGAAAGGGGCGCCAGAATTGTGACCGGAGTTCGTCGAAGTTCGCCGGAGTTTTGCCGGAGCTCAATAAGGGAGGCTAGAACTTCATAAGCTTCATTTAAGGTGAGAAGACGGCTTTACGTTTTATAACTTTTGCGTGAGGCATGAGATTACCTAAATTAATCAAGAATATGTTTTATGGATTGATTAATGGTATTAAAGTATGTGTTATGTTATGTTAAGGAATATAACATAGTTGGAAAGCATGATTTATAGGTTCTATTGGGGAATATTCTCCCGGCCTACTACTGTTCAGAGGCCCAATACACCGCCCCGGCTCATTTCAGGCCCGTTGGCCCATATTTCGGCCCATTAAGGCCCATTTCAGGCCCATCGGCCCATATTTTGGCCCATTAAGGCCCATTAGGCATATTGGCCCAAATGAGAGTAACCTAGATCCCCCCTTCTATAAATAGGAGAAGGCATTTCCTTCTCCAGGGGATCTGCTTTTGCTCTCCCAGGGGAGCTTTCTTCCCTTCCCCTTTACTGCTTCTCCTTTATCTTTCTAGTTTAGGAAGCTTATTCAAGCTCCATTGATGGAGGTTTCTATACTTGTATTATGTAATTGAGTGATGGGAGGGTAATAATGAGAAAGAGCGGGCTTGGACGTTAGCCTAAAAAGTCCCGTGATTTTCTCCCTTTCCGGGTTTACACATAAAAATAGCTAGTTTATACGCCTTTTATATTTATATTTACAATCTCATGTTGGATTAAAATCAATATTGGCGCCGTCTGTGGGAAAAGATGAAAAAGCATAACATGTTGTTCTTGATTCTACAAAATTATTTGATAAAGGCTACTGATTCCACGAAGAAAAGGAGAGAAAATTGTTTCTGGAAAAACACAACAGGAGAAGAACAGTAGAAGGCCAGGACTCCAGCAGCTTGCTCATCATTCAGGTGGCTGCCCCCATGTCCTGAAGTAAACGCCAGGGCCGAAGCAGCAGGCTCAAGGAGAATTACAATCCAGAGCTGCTGATAATTGAAGAATATAGTGAATGGGACCCACGTGCCCACAGGTTCCCTACTCCCATAAAAGAGGCCTGACAGCAATGAGATGACAAATTCTGACACCAACACAAGTGGGTGATTTGACATAATCTTATCCAAAAAAGCCAGTACCGCCTCCCGAACGGAAGCTGCCCGGACGCCAGAAGGAATGACTGTCTGACGGGAATCCCAGGAGGCCGACCACCACTTCACCAATCCGGAGAACCTGCGGAAAGGCCGTGCACATCAAGAAAGAATAGAATGTTCGAAACAGCAGAAGCCCGAACGAGAGTATTGACCGGGTTGAACATCAACAATACCTTAAAGTGCAGCGTATTGAACGGTAGTATTGAACGGAAGTATTGTCAACTGCAGTACACGGACCAGTCAGCCCATCCGAGCCTCGAATGGCTTGGACATTCGCGCCCTGCTCACTAAGGAGCCTCTAGTACGGTTATCTCCCGGACGGCAATACGCTCTAAGGCGGAGGAAAATGGTCAGCCCAGAGAAGGACCGCTTGTTCAGTACACCCGCCCAGCACTACACAACCCGCTCGGTGTCCCCGGTCAGCCCACCATTCAGAATCGTGGACTAGCACCAAACCCTCAAGGCTCCCTCAGCCGTTCGATTCGCGACGCCGTTCAGTCCCCGGACAACCTTAGACACCCATGAAGGCTGCCATCTGGTTGTTCAAACGCCGCTCGATATCCACGCAATTTCGGATGCCATGGCACGAGCTATGTTGCTGCCCAAGCTCAGCCTCTTGACCAAACCTTCGTCGGGTAAATTGCTTCTACTCGTTCTAAGATCTGGCCACCAGAAAAACTTTCCCGACCGGTCTATTGAGATTTTCCAGACCGGCAGGCAGTGGGATTGAGTAGCCAGACCCACCCAAAAGGGAACCTCCTCTACGACATGAACTCCAGATTTGATCGTCTACCTATTTCCCGATCGGCACCTCTACTATTCATCATGAACAAGCACACTGCACACGATTACACCAGGCCACCCGCAGTATTGCTTCTCCAGAACTGGAAAGATTCTGGGGCATGGTTTAACTTTATTAAAGTATCAAGGGATTCAAATAATCTTTCATCCTGAACGGGAAACGGTGCACCAGCGCCCCAAGTCCTGTTCTAACGCCGCCTAGCTCCAAGACCAGGCAAGTCTCCATCAGGCAGAAATAGAAGGACCCGATCGAGCAACCATAGGCGACCGACCGGTCTTCGTTCAGACAGGGATAACATATCCCGTTCGAGCAAATCAGCATGGATAACAGAGAGACGAAATGAGTCCCCAGCCTACCGCCATCTGACACCCAGCTAGGCTGCTCCCTGTGCTATGCGGCGTTTGCCGCTTGACTCTCTAGAACACCGCCGCTCGGAATTCTACCAAGTAATCACCTTCTCGTTCATATCTAGCCACGACCGCCCAATTTGTTGGGCTTGGCTGCCGCCTTCCCCGTTCAGGCCCAGGCTGGATTTTTGTTTTTGTTGTGGGCAGACGTTTTGGTACGGTTGAGATGAAGGGGCGGCTAGGAAGAAATCAAGTATGTGTGGACTTAAATGGACAGCTGCAATTTGGGGTTTTAAATGGTCCAGATCGAAGCAAATCAAAAGATTGGGTCATGATCTTCCAGCACCGGACAAAACAGCTGAAACCCCAGCCTATTCGAGATAAGTAACACCATTTATTTACCTGATTTAAATTAAAAAAAACGTGTTACTATTATTCGATAAAAGGGGTGAAAACATCCTGATTAAAATGATAGAACCGAGTGAAGCTTTAGCAATAAGCTCACCATCATTTTAATTAAATGAATTGGTTCTTGGGCCTGTTGGTCCACTCCCGACCGGCCCAAATAAATTGACTGAAGCGTCTCGCAAGGGCGTAGCCCGGTGACGTATCTTTATTTTGGGACCATTCATGATCCCGATCAGCATTAAATGTTGTTGAAGATTATTTTATTGCGAATCAAGTCTGTCAGTTTTGTCTGTAATAATCTAGAGTTTACTATTCCCATTCTGTACTAATATACTGTCTTTCTTAAAATAGTATTTAATATCGGCCAAGTGTTAGGCCCATACAAAGGCTAAATGCCTTGTACGCATACCTGAGCCTCGCCTATAAAACGGAGCTGAGGACTCAGGTCTGCGTTAACTTTCGTACTCGTTCCAAATAGCCTTAGCGCAATATTATTCTCTGTACGAGTTCACGATATATCAAGGAAGGTTATCATCGATCATCTTGTGTTCATCTTTCTGGTTAATCTTCTACTTGTTATACTCTTTATCTTTGCTGTAATAGAAAACAGGGACTAACAAATTGTATCAGAGCCGATCGAGAGCTGATCAGAAGAACGTCTGCAGAAAAACTCTGTTTTTTCTTTCCTTATTTGTATCTCTCGAGTTTCTAATCTGTAATCTTGTATCTTGTCGAAAAGCTGTAAAAGTTATACCATTAGAATCGTCGTTTCGAAACGATCAAGGTGTATACTTTAGATTTTTCATTCTGCAATTTTTGTACTCGAAATATCTCGATATCAAGATCTCGAGATCACTGTTTGAACATGTTCTGCCTAGCTTTTCGTGCTGAAAACTTCACAGGAGGATCTCGACATCAAACGCTACCAGGAACAACCCTCAGATTTTGTTAACTTGAAATCTTCATTTTGCAGGATTTCGACACTGAGGATCTCGACATCCGAATCTCGATTTTGAGATTTCGATATATAATGTCTCGACTTCAGGTCCTCGACATTTGAGATCTCGAAAAACAAATCTCGAAGTTTAAATCTTGATAATTCAAATCTCGACATTAGAAATCTCGAGACCAAAACTCGACATTTGAAACCTCGATATCAAATCTCGATATCTGGATCTCAAATATCGAAATCTAGAATCTCGATATTCAGATTTCGACATCTGAAATCTCGATATTCTGCCTTTGAAAATTTTCTGATCAAATATCTCGAACGGTCAGTTTTCTACAGCAATGGCTTCAGAATCCAATGCCCAAGGGAACAGTAGTACTCCTCCAAATCTAAGGAAAGGAGAATATCAAATGTGGAGGAATCGATTCCTAAACTTCCTCGAACACAAAGAAAATTCCGCTGCAATGCTTGAATCACTGCTTGAAGGACCAGCTGAGCTGATGATTTCAGTTGGAGGAGACCCAGACAACAACCCACATATCCCTTCGGAAAGGAGACGGAAAGTGGCATCAGAATACACTGAAGCTGACAAGCTTAGACTTAGAGGTGATCTCATGGCGAAAACATATCTCCTTCAAGCCATCCCAAACGAAGTATATGTACTAATTGACAGCATGCAAACTGCAAAGGAGATGTGGTATGAGATTGAAAAACTGCTCCAAGGCACAATCATCAGCCTGAAAACCAAGAAAACAACTACACTGATTGCCTATGACTCCTTCATAGCTGCCCCTGGAGAACCATTGAACGAGACATATAACAGACTCATTCAACTGGTCAATGAACTAAGGAAGATCAAAGTTTTCAGGACGAACTTGGAACTAAATATAAGATTTCTGTCCAGCTTACATCCCGCATGGAGAAAGACAGTAAAGGATGTCAGACAACGCATTGACTTGGATGAAATTGATCTCTGCACCCTACATGAACACTTAAATCAATTTGTCAATGAGGTTGCTTGTGCCGAGGATCCACTCGACACAAATCCACTGGCTCTGGTGATGGAAGCTCAGCCCCGAAGGACAACCAAACCACTGAAAAAGAAGAAGAAGAAGGTGGTGGTTGACTTAGATGAAGATGAGAGTGATTTTGAAGAATCTGACCTGGAGGCTGAACTTGCAGACCTTCAGAAGAAGATGACACTGCTGGCCAAGAAATTTGCTAAGAAGAACAGCTCCTCCAACAAGTTGAGAACCTCCTCCTCAAATTACAAACAAAAGAACCATGATCAAGGATCTTCTAGGAAGGCACCAACAGCTGAAGATGCTCCCAAATGCTATAACTGTGGAAAGGCTGGACATGTTATCAAAGATTGTCGCCTGCCAAAGAAGAGGGATGCAAACTTCTACAAACAGAAGATGTTGTGGAATAAGCAAAAGATGCTTATGGCGCAAAAGGAAGAAGAAAATTTTGCAGTGCTTGCCTAAAATGATCATTGGGCAGAAGACACCTCTGATGAGGAAGAGGAGGAAGAAAACTATGCCTTGATGGCACGTATGGAGGAAGAAGATGAAAGAAAGGGTGATGCTGCGATCCCCGGAAGTGAATGCTCTACTAGCACTGACGGTCATGTGTGGCACTTGGATTCTGGATGCTCAACCCACATGATCGGAATAAAAAACCCGTTGAGCAACTACACCAACTTCTACAGAGGCAACGTCAGATTTGGGAACGACGCCTCATCTCCCATTCTTGGATATGGGGATGTCATATGTGCCAGTGTCACCATCAAGGATGTATCATTTGTCAAAGGGCTCAAACACCCTGAGCATTGGACAATTCTGTGACAACGGGATGGAAGTGAGGTTCTTTGCCAGACAATGTTGTGTGCTAGACAGTGCAGGGAACTCATTATTAACGTGCTACAGGACATCAAATCTGTACACGATTGATCTGAAAAGCATACAATCCACCACTTCCATCTGTCTGCTGTCCAAAGCTTCCACAGAACAGAACAACCTTTGGCACAGACGTCTTTCCTATATGAACTTCAAGAATTTGTCAATCATGTCCTCCAAGAAACTTGTAAAGGGGCTTCCTCTGTTAAAGTCTTCCGCTGAAAATCATTGTAGTGCCTGCAAAATGGGCAAAATGACGTGAAGCTCCCACAAGCCAAAAACAGTTCCATCATCTACTCATCAGTTACAGCTGATTCACATGGATCTGTGTGAACCTATGAGAGTCCAAAGCATCAACGATCACAAATACACTCTGGTGATCGTTGATGATTCCTCAAGGTACACATGGACGAAATTTATTCGTACAAAGGACGAGGCAGCGGAAAACATTATGACCTTTATCAGAACCATCCAGAAACTGCTACAACACAGTGTTCGAATAATCAGAACTGACAACGATACCGAGTTCAAAAATCAAACTCTCACTGATTTCTATGAATGTCTCGGTATCACTCAGTAATTTGCAGCAGCAAAAACTCCCCAACAGAACGGAGTTGTTGAGAGAAAGAACATGACTCTTGTTGAAGCAGCACACACAATGCTAATCCAATCCAGACTGCTCATTTCATGTGGGCAGAGGCAATCAATACTGCGTGCTACACCCAGAACAGAACATCCATTCATAAACGTTTCGACAAGACTCCTTATAAACTTCTCTTCAACAGAACTCCCGATATCTCTTTCTTCAAGATATTTGGCTGTAAGTGTTTCATACTGAACGATCGAACAGAAAGAAGTAAGCTGGACCCCAAAGCCAGAGATGGCGTGTTTATCGGCTACTCACTGCAGTCCAAAGCTTACAGGGTCTATCTAAGAGACAAGCAAACAATCATCGAGAGTGTGAATGTAACATTCTATGAAATGGCTGACTTCGCAACCGAACATTTACAGGCTGATCCAACACATGCTTTACTAGAGACTTCTGATAAAGCTGATTCGAACTCAGAACTTGAAGGTGTGATTCTTAATTCTCTCTTCAGAAACTTCTGCGAGAATTCACAACCTTCATCTCCTCCATGCACACCAGCTTCAACATCAACAGCTCCGCATCAACCTACTCCCACAACTGAGATTCCACTTCTTCCTGGTCCAAGTGATGTACCGTCTACGCCTTCAACTCCTCAATCCAATCACAGGGAAGTGGATGATCATGGTTTTGCTACAATGCCAGAATCATCTCCACCGCACACCACAGCTACTCAAGAGACCTCTATCCCCTATCCGGACTCGGATCAACCAATCATCACTCCAACTCCTCTGGCTCATGAGAGGAAATGGACGAAGGCACATCCCGTTGATCAAATAATAGGTGATCCGAGTCAAGGTGTGCACACAAGATCCGCCACGGTAAATGAATGTCACTTCGCCTGTTTCCTAAGCCAGTCTGAACCATCAAATATTTCCGAAGCACTACTTGATCCAGATTGGGTGATTGCAATGCAAGATGAACTCAATCAATTTAAAAGACTGGATGTATGGACACTCGTACCTAAGCCCCAGAAAAAGACCATCATTGACATGAAGTGGATATTCAAAAACAAGAGAGATGAAGAAGGGACAGTTGTGCAAAACAAGGCAAGGCTGGTCGCAAAGGGATACAATCAGCAAGAAGACATAGACTATGATGAAACTTTCGCGCCCGTAGCAAGAATTGAAGCAATTCGCCTCTTTCTTGCGTACGTGGCTCACAAGAACTTCACCGTCTTTCAGATGGACGTGAAGACAGCCTTTCTAAATGGAATTTTAGAAGAAGAAGTCTATGTCACTCAACCCGAAGGATTTGTAGACCCAAGATTCCCAGATCATGTATACAAGCTCAAGAAAGCTCTCTATGGGCTGAAACAGGCACCAAGAGCTTGGTACGATGCCTTGACCGAATTTCTGGTTGATTCAAGTTTCTCCAAAGGTAAGATTGATACTACACTGTTCATCAAGCGACAGAAATCTGATATTATTCTGATTCAGATCTATGTCGATGACATCATCTTTGCCTCATCCAATCCGCGTCTGTGCAAACATTTCGAGAAACTGATGAAAACAAAGTTTGAGATGAGCATGATGGGCGAACTGAATTTCTTCCTAGGCCTGCAAGTACGACAACTCTCTGACGGCATTTTCATCAATCAGTCAAAATATATTCTGGAAATGCTCAAGAGATTCAACATTGACGACAAATCTTCCATGACGACCCCCATGTCCCCAAATAATAAATTGGACTCAGACCCCTCCGGGAAGCCAGTTGATGCTACAAACTACAGGGCCATCATTAGATCTTTGCTGTATCTCACGTCTAACAGGCCTGACATTGTATTCTCCACATGCTTATGTGCTCGATTTCAAGCTAATCCGAAGGAATCCCATCTGACTGCTGTGCGCAGAATCTTAAGATATCTTAAAGACACAGTGAATCTAGGCCTTTGGTATCCCAAGCATTCAGGTTTTGACCTAGTCGGATATTCGGACGCTGATTTTGCGGGTTGCAGGATGGACCGCAAGAGTACATCGAGAGCCGTCCAGTTCTTGGGCGAGAAGTTAATCTGTTGGTCTTCCAAGAAGTAGAATTGCGTGTCAACATCTACAGCTGAGGCCGAATACGTCGCGGGTGCTAGTTGTTGTTCACAAATATTATGGATGAAGACTCAGGTCAAAGACTACGGTTACACATTCCGCCATATCCCGATCTACAGTGATTCACAGAGCGCCATCGCCATCACCAGCAACCCAGTTCACCACTCCCGCACCAAACACATCGATCTGCGCTATCACTTCATCAAGGACCACGTGGAAAAAGGAGATATTGATATGTATTTTGTAAGCTCAGAGCTTCAATTGGCTGACTTGTTTACTAAGGCGTTGGATGAAAAAAGATTCCAGTTCCTAGTCTCCAAGTTGGGCATGTTGAACCTCGAGCCTGTTTAATTTTATCTCCACTGGTCCGAAAAGTGTGTGTGTGTGTGGGACTTGTAAAAGGCATGTGTGGGTGTGACCTGTAAATAGTGTGTGTGCGTTGCATGTGTCAAGGGGGAGAAAACCCAAAAAGAAAAAAAATAGTGTGTGTGTGTTGTATGTGTCAAGGGGAAGTAAACCCAAAACGAACAAAAAATAGTGTGTGTGCATTGCATGTGTCGAGGGGGAGAAAACCCAAAAAGAACAAAAATAGTGTGTGTGCGTGTGTCTTGTACATATCGTGTGTGAGTTGCATGTGTGAGTCTTTTTGTTTACTCTCAATCTTGTTCACGAACCAAGGGGGAGGACTTTCATTTTTTTAAAAAAGAGGGGGCAGGGAAAGGGCTAAATTCGGGCCCAATCTTTAGGCCCAAAAGCCTCTGTTTTCGCATACAAAAGCAGTGAATCTTGAAATTCTTCCTCATCTTCTCGCATTCGGATTTCAAAACGCCAGAGCTCTCTCCCCAACTCTTTACTTCTCTACTTTTTTCCTCTCTTCTTTGTTCGGTTTTCGTTCGTGTTTCGGCTTTCAAAAGGTAGTACTTCAAGAGTAACATGATATCGTTTGTCTTAAACCATCTCTATTTTTTATTTTTGCGAAATCTTGCACAAGAACAATGAACTCGGAACCTTTGAATTTTTAGACGAACTCGGAAAGTTGTTGGATTGATTTGATTAGTTGTTGGATATGTTTTGTTGTCTGTGCAGGTGGCTTCGTCGTTGATCTTCTGGGTGAAATCTCGAGTTCCATGAACTCGTGGTTTAAATCCGGGATATCTCGATCTCGTCGTTTCAACTTCGAGATGAGATCTCGAGATTTAAACCTCGAGATCCATGTCTCGAGATTTAAACCTCGATATTTGGATCTCGAGACTTAAATCACGACATCTGGATCTCGGGTTTAAACCTCGAGATTTGGATCTCGAGATTTAAACCTCGAGATTTAAACCTCGAGATTTGGATCTCGAGATTTACACCTCGAGATTTGGATCTCGAGATTTACACCTCGAGATTTGGATCTCGATATTTAAACCTCAACATCTAGATCTCGAGATTTAAACTTCGACATCTGGATCTCAAGATTTAAACCTCGACATCTGGATCTCGAAATTTAAACTTCGACATCTAGATCTCGAGATTTAAACCTCGACATCTGGATCTCAAGATTTAAACCTCGACATCTGGATCTCGAGATTTAAACCTCGATCTCGAGATTTAAACCTCGATATATGGATCTCGGGACTTAACCTCGACATCTGAATCTCGAGTTTTAGACCTCGACATCCTAATCTCGAGCTTTTGCCTTGGTCGTTTTTTTGACAACTCCACCTGCCCATTTTTCTTCTAATAAAAAAAAACCAACATCAAATCACACATTCTAAAACAACAAAAATATAAAGGACTTTTACACTGACCCATGTTTTCTATAGTTCATTATGGCAGGCAACCAACAGCGCCACAACATCGATGATGCCATCTATCCACAAGAACGGTGGATCAAGGTGCTGGACCACAACTACCAGCTAGACCTGACCACGTTCAAATGTCCGGATCCCATCATCCCAGGGATCATGAAGCGCCACTATCTCTAGACCGCCCTCAACAAATCTATACCGGTGCCAGAAATCTATCTACAACAGCTTTGGGGACATATGTGTACTGAGTCAGTCAAGGACCGCTCCAAAATTCTCACAAAACTCAACAATATGAGGTTGATCCTGACACCATCCACTCTTCGGTCCGCACTGGCGCTTCCGGTCCACGAAAACTATGACCCTCTGCCATCCATCCCGAATCTCCTCAAAGATGTCGCCGCCCTGGGTTATGCCTCCCTGCTCCCCAAGCTGTCAAACTTCAACGGAGCCTATCTTCATCGTCCGTGGAAAACCCTGTTCAGACTGGTAAACAAGTGCCTGTCACCTAAGCACTCCGGATTTGATAAATGCAACAAGCAGATTCTCTTCGTCTTCCATGGTATCGCTTACAAAAAAACTACGACATGGCTCAGCTCTTCTTCTCCGAGCTCATGGATCTGGTCAAGGCCAAGGAGAAACACAAGTCAGGCACAATTCTGTATGCTCGGTGGCTAGGGCTGATCATCCAAGAAACCATGACAGAGCACAGCTCCATTCCTCGATGGGGCGATGATCCACACTTCTCCGCTCCCAAGCTTCAATATTTCAAGGCCGACAAGAAAGCGGTTCAGGGACTGTGGATTCCAGATGCTCTGCTCAATTTGGCAAATCAGTCCAATCCAACAATTGTGAAATACAAGGAGAACCTTGAGAGAACAGTCCCTATGATTCAGCAAAACCCAGCTGGACCTACCCCGGGGACTAAGCCGAGTGTAAGTAAGGGTCCCAAGAGAGCCCCAAATCCACAGAAGCCAGTGGCACGTCAACCCGATGAAGGAAAGTCCGATGAATCTTCCGAGAGGACTCGAACGGCTGAGGGCAAACTGCCGAACGCTGAGGAACCCGCTGATGACTCGCTCAGCCCGACCCACAAAACGGCTGACGACGAGGCTTCCGATAGGGTGGCCAGAAGTGACGATGACGATGATGATGATGATGACGATGACATCGACGATGTTGAGCACACCTTTGCTATCATCTAAAAGGGGAAGCTGCCTATTGAATCTCCTCCAAAGAAAATCTCCGCTGAGGATGCAGCCCTTATCATAGCTACACGCCCCAAGGAGATCGTCATCAAGACCGTGGAGGCCGGTCATACTGTAGCAAGTGCTGCAGGCATCGTCAGGGAGCAACGCATCAAAGCTAAAAATGATGCTCCCCTGTCGCTCAAACCCAAGAAGCGGTGCCTCGTCAAAAGAAACCTAGTTGACGAGGACGACATGTATATCTTCGCCGACTGTCAACCCTTCATCAATTTAAGCCGAGCTGACTCCTTAAGTACAGGAGCCGATCTTTTCGGTTTCCAAGTAGAAGCCGCATCATCTGGCTCAACTGCGCATGCACCACCCTCCCCTAGCCACTCGTTAGCCTCCCAACAGGCTAACGTTTCAAAATCGCGGGACTCACCCACCTCTCTGGTTCCTTCCGGACCAGTTGAGCGAATTAGTGGCCAACAGCCTGAGGCCACCACCCTTCCCTTGAGCACATCGAGTCTAGGTGTCAAACTCCCTACATTTTCTAATTTTTCTAGGACACCTACACTATTCACCGCACAGACAGGTGCACGCACCCTGGAAGCAACGACCATAGTGCAAACGATGACGGTCGGAAGCCCTGCTACGCCTACAATGATTCCATCATTGAATGCAGGCCACACATCAGCCCTCTTCACTGATGTTGTGACAACAGTTACAACCCTTGTCACTGGACCCCTCACTACCGAAGACGTTACCGTTCTTATGCATCGTTTCATGGATTCCACCATTAAGCCATGGGTGCAACAAGCATTTATCGCTTGGGCACAGGAATCCAAGGCAACCCCGGCGGTGCATAGTGAACACAGCCAGCCTGAACCACACCCATCACCTTCTCACTCCCAATCTCCACCCTCTCCAGTCATCTCCGCCACCTCCACCAAAGCCCATAGCCCTACCTCTTCCCGGGGAACCCATGATACAGACCAAGTATCATCCCCACACCCGACCACACCTCCCATTGAACTACTTTCCCAACCCTTCGAGGTCTTGGCATCGGCCTTGCTGGATCACCTCCTTAACATACCCCACACCGATCTCACTCCCTACCAGCAAGGCATCCTTACTGCCCTTCTCTCTGATCCGGACACCAAGGGCACCTGCCGTGAAAGTCCCCGTGGTCGCAAACGTTCACATGAAGATCCCGACGATTCAGAACCTCATGAGGGGGAGAACAAGAGGCCACAGATACTCGAGCAAGGTGACTCTACTAGCCACACCCCCAAACCGAACAACCCGAGACTTCCACTAACCAACCACCACCTACCTCTAGCCAAAACCAAGCCCATCTCTCTAACGTGGTCGAGCTAGATGAAACATCCTGAGGCTTATCTCCTAGAGATATTGTCCTAGGAGGGGATGGAAGTCCTGACGATGCTACCCTTGGTACATCAATAAGCTCAGGCCATCAGTCAGAACCTGTGTCGAAGCTGATGACAACATCCCGAGGCTTATCTCTCAGAGATACTGTTCGAGGAGGGGATGGAAGTCCTGGTGATGCTACTGCGAGTACATCCTTAAAATCAGGCCATCAGTCAGAACCCAGTTCTAAGCTGATGTCAACGGGCAATCCGAGTGAACCCGGTTGTGCTACCCAAGAACAATCACTGCTCCAACAGCAGCAAAGAGTTCCATACATTCCCCCATGCAAGGACATCCACGACGCACTGGAGGATGCGGTGATACATGATAAATGCCCAAGAAAATGGATAGAATGGGATGATCTCCGTTGTGAGGCTGATAAGCGTTTTATTAACGTATTTTATGTAACAATTTATAAACGCTTTTATACTTAAAAGAATAAAACTCTCACACATATGTCTCGTTTTGCAAGAAATACTATAATCGACAATTGGATCAAACACGAGGATGAAAAGACACACGAAGAATCCCGACAAGTAAAGGTCAACCAAACGCATCCCGAGAACAAAAGGAAAAAAAAGGAAAATACACCAAAACGGTGAAAGCCGCCCGGCTTTCACCAAAAACCGGCCGGTTTTCACCAACCAACCATCCAGTTGCCGTCCGAAGATGAAGGAAAAGCCTCCGGAGCAAAACAGACGAAAGCCGCCCGGCTTTCATGAAAGGCGCCCGGCTTTGGGCGCCGTGGAAAATATTCAGCAAACCGAACCAAAAGCCGCCCGGCTTTTGGCGAAAGCCGCCCGGCTTTCGGTCCCTGGAGCGGAGAAGCCCGTTTTAAACTCGCAAAAGCCGCCCGGCTTTTGCGAAAGTCGCCCGCCTTTCGCCTGGAGCTGATTAAAACAAGCAACGGTCATCACAATCATTCGGGCAAAACACCAAATCCCATTAAGGAGCTTGCTTCCTTGTCCGAAAATGGCCGTTGAGAACTCAATATTTAAGAGGATTGAAGCCCTCTCAAGGGATTATTCCATATTCTACACACTTTACTTCTACTTTGGCATCCCAAGAGCAACCCCTTGGTCTTGGGAGAAGTTCTACACTTGGGGAAAGCTTTATCCACCATAGCTTTGGAGTTGTGGTATCATTTTCTTATGTATTTCATTGTATTTTATCATTTCAATACTTGTAATTTTATTATGAATTGTTCTAGCTAATTTTCTATAGCCAAGGTTAGGGATGAAACTTTACGCACTATAGGTGTTTGATGTATGTTCTCAACCAAATATTTATGATCTTTCTTTTATATTTTAATGTGTATGACTACGGTGTACAACGTATGATTATATCGTTGGGTTTATTTGAGCAATTAACGTTGAGTTATAAACCGTGCACTTAAAGGTTAGACATATTCTAATTGTGGATAGAAATATACCTCAATTGAGTATGGTGGTTTTTATAATGTCCTAATCTTCAATGGGGTTAATTTTAGATGAATGTGAACCGTGACGGGATTCACACGTAGAATTAATCACAATCTCGCTGCCGTAACAGGAGTTAGAATACTTTAGTGACATTCCACTCATAAGAATTGGCGAAAGAACATATATTCATCACTAGGAGTCGTTTAGGAGTAATCCCGAACCCTTGGTTGCTTTTATTATCTTTTAAAAAAATCAAAAAGCTTTACTCTTTTCTTAATTCTTTTACTAAACCGCTTTCACTTTTGAATCATATAAACAATGTTTCCTTGTGTTCGACCCGGTATTTTTACCGGAATTTACTACTACATTGGCACTTGTACACTTGCAAGTTTCAGCCGATCAAGTTTTTGGCGCCGTTGCCGGGGAAACGGTTTTGTTTTATACGATTCAACAAAAATTCCTGAATTTTCCCATTACATTTCACTTGGTATTGTTTTAAATTTTGTTGTGTAGACAAGCTCTTAGTGCATGCTATTGAGAAGTCAAGGCTCTACAAACCTTGAACCTATCAACCTTGAAATCGAGAGAGCTTGTAGAAGGAATCGAAAGAAGGAAGCAAAAGCACCAACAATGCTTCCTACACTCAATGAAAGGAAGAGACCCGTCATTGCAACAACTCCTTCTTGCATCGTGCTCAGCGAGGCGGCACGAGACTATGAGTTGCGGAATAGCTACTTCAACGCTATGCCACACTTTTATGGACAACCAGGGGAGAATCCATTAAATTTCATCACTGAATTTTATGGGTTCATTCAAGGTGTTCCAAGGAATGGCCTAAATGAAGGTGATCTTAGGCTCAAATGCTTCCCCTACACCTTGAAGGGAGCGGCAAGAGGGTGGTTTCTAGAGCAAGCACCGGCATCCTATACTACTTGGGATGAAATATACAATGTATTCATCTCCAAGTACTACACCCCAACAATGACGCAAGAGCTACGACAACGAATCTTCAACTTCAAACAACAAGTTGGAGAACTCTTTCAAGACGCATGGAGGCGTTTCAAGTCTTTGTTGAAGGAATGCCCCCATCACCGCATTCCTATTGACCTCCAAATTGACACTTTTTACAATGGCTTGAACTCATTTTGTCAAGCTATTGTGGACAACCGAGCGGAGGGATACATTGGCAACAAAACCGAAACGGAAGCTTTTAGAATTCTTGAGTCCATTGCTTCAAATCCTCAACTTCAAGGAGGAGACATCAAGGTAGCGGGAGTGAATGAGATTTCTATCACTCATGAACTAGACAAAAGATTTGAAGAATTTCAAATCAAAGTCCACCAAAATGTGCACACATCAATTCAAACAGCTTTGCAAGCCGTTATTGGAGGTGTTCAACAAGTAGCGAATGTGGAGAGTGTCTCCAACGTGGAAGGTAACTCATCTCAACATCTTGAGGATGTTAGTTACATGAATTCCTATGGTAACCGGGCAAATCAAGGAGGAAATAATATTTCCAACAACAATCAACAACGGTACAACCAAGGAAACAATTGGAAGCCACAAGAGAATTCTTCAAACCCTCAACCCGGAGCTCCCAAATTTGGGCAATCACAAGAACCTACTGTGGAAGAGATGATGAGGCTTCTCACAAAGAATGTAGCCGCTATGAAAGCCCAAAATGAAGAAAACCATAGTAGAATGGAGGCATCCATTGGGAATCTCCACAATCAATTCACCAAACTTGACATGCGTTTTGAAGATCAAAATAGGAAGCTTAATCAACGCATGGACAGTCTTGAGCAATATACCAAGTCCTCTATTCATAACTTGGAAGTTCAAATTGGTCAACTTGCTCAAGAAAGGACCACTAGAGAGCATGGAAGATTTCCCACAACAACGGAGGTTAATCCAAGAGAAACGGCTATGGCAATCACTTTGAGAAGTGGTAAGGAAATGAAGGGGGCGGTTATTCAAAATGTACCCTTGGAGAAGCAAGGAGATGAAAAGCTAGATGAGCATGTCTCATTACCACCACCCATGGCAACATATGTTCCCCTATTCCCTACCCTCAAAAGTTGAAGAAGAAGGATGAGAAAAAACAATTCAAGAACTTCTTAGACATTTTTACCAAGTTGAGCATCAACATCCCTTTCGTTGAGGCTATAGCGGAAATACCCTCATATGCGAAATTTCTGAAAAATATCCTCAATAACAAGAAGAAGTTAGCGGATTTTGCGACCATACCACTCACGGAGGAGTGTAGCGCTATCATCCAAAACAAACTACCTCCAAAGTTGAAGGACCCCGGAAGTTTCACCATCCCTTGTTCTATTGGGAGTCTAGGAGAAGTAAGGTCCCTTTGTGATCTTGGAGCTAGCATCAATCTTATGCCCCTCTCCTTATTCAAGAAGCTAGGTGTGGGGGAACCTAAACCAACAACTATAGCTCTTCAATTAGCGGATAGAACAGTCCGTTATCCCATCGGAGTGGTGGAAGATGTTCTTGTGAAGGTGGGCAAATTCTATCTCCCGGTTGACTTTCTTATTTTAGAAATGGATGAAATGGAGATTCAGGTTATTCTCGGGAGGTCATTTCTAGCCACAGCAGGCGCTCTTATTGATGTCAAGAACGGAATAGTGAAATTCCGTATTGGAGAAGAGGAGCAAGAATTTCATGTTTGGGAGTCCCTAAAGAATCCTCCTAACGACTCCACATGTTTTAATATCAATGATTTTGATAATATACCCCAAGGTACTTCAAAGCGGGAAGCTCAAGAGGATTCTCGTATCTACAAGGAGAAGGTAGAAGCATGGCATGACAAAGGAAAGGCGAAATCGAGCTACAAATTGGGCATAAAGTACTTCTTCATGACTCAAAGTCCCGGTTGTACTCCGAAAAACAGAAATCCCCTTGGTCGGGACCGTTTACCATCACCGAGGTCCAGCCATTTGGAACAATGATGATCCAACAAGGAAGTAATCCACCTTTTGTTGTGAATAGCCATCATTTGAAGCTGCACAAAGAGTACTACACCACCCCCTACCCATCCAAGAAATGATCACGAAGAACGTCCGGCCAACGACGTTAAAGAAGGCGCTTATTGGGAGGCAACCCAATTTCATATCCTTTTTATTTACATGTTTTACTTTTATTTTGTTGTTATACTCCTATTGCTTGTGGACAATGCAATTCAAGTGTAGGGGGAGAAAAAGGCAAGAAGTTCGAAGTGTTAAGCAAAAATTTGACAAAAACGGGCAAAATAGGTGAAAACGACGAAAGCCGCCCGGCCTCTCCCCAAAGCCGCCCGGCTTCCATATCTTTTCCAGGTATTTTTCTCGCACGCCAAAGGCGCCCGGCTTTCGCCAAAGCCGCCCGGCTTTCGCCAAAGCCGCCCGGCTTTGGGCGCCGTAGCTTAATTCACTTTTAATTAAATCGAAACCCGCCCGGGTTTCGTGTAAGCCGCCCGACTTACGTGCACATACCTGCTGCTATCAAGCAAAAGCCGCCCGGCTTTCGCCAAAGCCACCCGGCTTTCGGGTTACGGAATTGTTAAAACCCCTTCTCTTTTAAACACAAACACACGCACACCTTCCAACTCCGGCCGACGTTCGAGCTCCAGCTGCCATAACATCCGTTTTCTCCCATTTCTTCTCCAATTTCAAGCTCAAATCAGGTAATATTCACTCATTTTCACTTCTTAATCCTTATTTCACAGCTTTTACATCATTTAATCGATAGTTTTGATTGTTCTTCCCAATTTCGAAATTTAGGGTTTTTACAAATTGATAGCTATTAGGCCAAATTCATTGCATGATATCTTGTTATTGTTGCCTATATTGCTTGTATGAACCATTATAACCTCTTTTCAAGTTGTTATTTTCAAAAATTTTGAAATTTTTGCTACTTGATTAATATTGGGGCTTAGGGTTCGAAATTCTTGTTTAAATTTGGGGATTTTCAATTGAATTATTGTGATTAATTGTTGATAAATGAGATTATGAGTATGTTGTCCCTTGTTGTCCTAAATTGTGATTATAGTCAATTTTTAGGGGAATCCATGTCAAATGTTTTTGAGAAATTGACCATAATCTATTGAGTTTGTAGGTTGAAATGGCTTCAAAGGGCAAATCTGTAAGAAATGAGGCTGGCTCGAGCAACCCCAAGCGGGCTAGGAACAACAAGGCACCCGCGGCCTCCTCCACTATCTTGCCGGCTAGTCGGTTTGTGAACACTCAATGCTACGAGCGTTACCTCGAGTCCCGGGACAACGACTTTGTGATCGAAAAGACAATCTCAGCCCCTATTGATCACGAGTTCCAGCTCACCGCGGCCTTCGCCAATATCAATTGGGAACCGGTGCTACATCTCCAAGGCACCTTCTATCCGGAACTCGTAAAGGAGTTCTTCGCAAACGTTGAAGGGAATTACGCCCAAAAGATGATTGAGAGCCGAGTCAAAGGGGTCAACATTACTATCACCAATGACCTCTTGAGCTCTCAATTTCACATCACCAAGTTCGGCACCCCTTTCGCTCCTTCCCAAGCCGGAACAATGAATAGTGATGGGAACTACAACCCCATGGAAGCTATGCAATATTTTGGGTTGCAAGGACTGGATCTAATGACGAAGAACCTCGGCCAACCACACATCCGGACCCGGCTTTTGATGTACCTCTACTCGTTCAACGTCATGCCGAGAGCGAGCGGCTACAACAAAATCCGAAGTGCCGACCTCTACTTTGCATATAGGATGCACACCGGGCTTGATCGTCATGAGGGGATTCCTCTCTCGGGCATCATCATCAAGCAATTGTGGAGCGCGGTCTTAAGCAACAATCAAGATAAGGCCTTCATTTTCCCTATTTTGCTCTCTAAAATTTTTCAACATTTTGGTGTTAGTTTTAGAGGAGAAGAAGAAAGGGAGATGCACGCCGTGCTTGATGATAGTGTCATGACCCACCTCCGCTATTTCCAACCGCCGCACGGAGGACCATGGAGGTGTGTGGCGAAGTTCCATAGAGTTGTACCGGAGGAGGATGAAGAAGAGATGATGGAAGGTGGGGAACCCGCGGGAGGCCATGAGGAGCACCATGAAGAGGCAGCTCACGTCCCCCAAGCCAGAGCTCCTTACGATATGGACTACTTGACCGAGCAATTTGGTCAAATCTGCACGGAGCTTGCGGTGCATAGACGAGACTTGAGAGATCAACGCCACGCTATCCAGGGAATGGGGAGCCATTTGTGGAGCATGAACTACTACTGTCAAGAGCTGGGGAGACATTTCAACATACCACCACCGCCGCCCTACGATCCAAACTTTTTTTCCCTTCCCGAGAAGACGGAGATGAGAACGATGAGTAAAGTTGACAACAAAAGGGAAGTGTACTAAAACAATTCTTATCTAGTCTTGCTCAAACTCTTGTTTGTTGTTATTTTGACTCTAATGTTGTCTTTGTGCTATGTGTGTTTAATCTTGCTTTGATTGCTCTTTGTGATCCACATTGAGACATTGTAGAACAAGTGTGGGGGGTGGTCTTTTAACTTCTAAATTGCAGGATTTTTTCTCCTTAATTTGTTTACTTTTGGTCCATAATTTTTTCAAAAATATTTTAGCAAAACCCTTGTCCTCCAAAAATTTGCTTGAGGACAAGCAAAGCTCAAGTGTGGGGGTATTTGATAAGCGTTTTATTAACGTATTTTATGCAACAATTTATAAACGCTTTTATACTTAAAAGAATAAAACTCTCACACATATGTCTCATTTTGCAAGAAATACTATAATCGACAATTGGATCAAACACGAGGATGAAAAGACACACGAAGAATCCCGACAAGTAAAGGTCAACCAAACGCTTCCCGAGAACAAAAGGAAAAAAAAGGAAAATACACCAAAACGGTGAAAGCCGCCCGGCTTTCACCAAAAACCGGCCGGTTTTCACCAACCAACCATCCAGTTGCCGTCCGAAGATGAAGGAAAAGCCTCCGGAGCAAAACAGACGAAAGCCGCCCAACTTTCATGAAAGGCGCCCGGCTTTGGGCGCCGTGGAAAATATTCAGCAAACCGAACCAAAAGCCGCCCGGCTTTTGGCGAAAGCCGCCCGGCTTTCGGTCCCTGGAGCGGAGAAGCCCGTTTTAAACTCGCAAAAGCCGCCCGGCTTTTGCGAAAGTCGCCCGCCTTTCGCCTGGAGCTGATTAAAACAAGCAACGGTCATCACAATCATTCGGGCAAAACACCAAATCCCATTAAGGAGCTTGCTTCCTTGTCCGAAAATGGCCGTTGAGAACTCAATATTTAAGAGGATTGAAGCCCTCTCAAGGGATTATTCCATATTCTACACACTTTACTTCTACTTTGGCATCCCAAGAGCAACCCCTTGGTCTTGGGAGAAGTTCTACACTTGGGGAAAGCTTTATCCACCATAGCTTTGGAGTTGTGGTATCATTTTCTTATGTATTTCATTGTATTTTATCATTTCAATACTTGTAATTTTATTATGAATTGTTCTAGCTAATTTTCTATAGCCAAGGTTAGGGATGAAACTTTACGCACTATAGGTGTTTGATGTATGTTCTCAACCAAATATTTATGATCTTTCTTTTATATTTTAATGTGTATGACTACGGTGTACAACGTATGATTATATCGTTGGGTTTATTTGAGCAATTAACGTTGAGTTATAAACCGTGCACTTAAAGGTTAGACATATTCTAATTGTGGATAGAAATATACCTCAATTGAGTATGGTGGTTTTTATAATGTCCTAATCTTCAATGGGGTTAATTTTAGATGAATGTGAACCGTGACGGGATTCACACGTAGAATTAATCACAATCTCGCTGCCGTAACAGGAGTTAGAATACTTTAGTGACATTCCACTCATAAGAATTGGCGAAAGAACATATATTCATCACTAGGAGTCGTTTAGGAGTAATCCCGAACCCTTGGTTGCTTTTATTATCTTTTAAAAAAATCAAAAAGCTTTACTCTTTTCTTAATTCTTTTACTAAACCGCTTTCACTTTTGAATCATATAAACAACGTTTCCTTGTGTTCGACCCGGTATTTTTACCGGAATTTATTACTACATTGGCACTTGTACACTTGCAAGTTTCAGCCGATCAGAGGCTGAGATAGATGACATGCAGAGAAACTGGTGGCTTCGAGAACTGTTAGCCAAATGCGCTGAAGATATAGTCAGGCTCGAGGAAGATGAAATCAAGGAAGGGGAGAACTACAAAGAAACCCTGAGGACGCTTGAATCTGTAGTAAGACAAACGGCGGGATGACTTCCCAAGGCCGAAAAACCCTGGAAGAATGTCAGGATAGGAGCCCCTTTCCAAGAGGAAATCATAGAGCGCATCTGGCATAGACCGGACAAAATCAAGCCCCTAAATGAGCTAAAACTTCGAAGTCTCACACATTTAAAAGGGAAACAAGCAGGAGGCCATCTACATATGTTGATGCATCGATCATCCGGACCTCAAAGAACTGTCCTTGAAAAAGATCTGAGATCCAGCGTACATCCAGTTCATGATATCCTGGAAGTCAAAGCTGAAGATCATAACACAATCAGGTTCTACTCCTATAAGCTGAGGCGCACAGACGGAAGCATATTTACATGCCAGGAGAATGACTTCTTCATGATGAAACCAGATGACATATATCAGATGTTCATGGCATATAGATATCTTCCAATCAGGAAGAGTAGAACATACAATGAAGGTTTTGAAGCCATCAAACGATTCATGCTCCGACAAGTCCGAGTTCATTCCACCCACGACCTGCAGATGGCTATACAGAACAACTTGCCAAAGACAAATCTTACACAGCCACGACTGCAAGGTCAAGAGATCAACGACTTCCCAGCTTATCACATATTCTTCAGTCCACCAGCAGTCACTTATCTGAATCACAAGAATGAAAAACGCTTGATGATGGTCAACGAAATTGCAAAGTACTGTGATGGGACTCTGAAGATCATCAGAGAGCAGCTGCTGAAACTAAAAGAAAAACTGGACAAAAAGCTTGCAGACGCATCGTCATACACTCAGAAGGAGCACGCAACATTGACAATCATTGTAAAGGCAATTGACGATCGTCTTTACAAGAGGAACATTCTAAGGCAATACGAGCATGCTCTGAACATAAGAAAAGATTACTACCAAGCTCAGAAGGAAGAGAAGACATCACTTGATCACAAAGGGGGAGATTGTTGAAGATTATTTTATTGTGAATCAAGTCTGTCAGTTTTGTCTGTAATAGTCTAGAGTTTACTATTCCCGTTCTGTACTGATATACTATCTTTCTTAGAATAGTATTTAATATGGGCCAAGTGTTAGGCCCATACAAAGGCTAAAGGCCTTGTACGCATACCTGAGCCTCGCCTATAAAAGGGAGCCGAGGACTCAGGTCTGCGTTAACTTTCGTACTCGTTCCAAATAGCCTTAGCGTAATATTATTCTCTGTACGAGTTCACGATATATCAAGGAAGGTTATCATCGATCATCTTGTATTCATCTTTCTGGTTAATCTTCTACTTGTTATACTCTTTATCTTTGCTGTAATAGAAAACAAGGACTAACAAATGCCCGAACGATAATTGTACCCAGTGCGGGGTGAAGTACGTACATTGATTAGCTAGTACTTTTCAGAGAAGATCCCGGCAAACCACTAGGTGGTTCTCATAGCACCTGAGCAGTGCGAAAAATAAATTTAGGCCAAGGGTAATTATTACCACTTCAGCCGGTAGTCATGAACAAAATAAAATGTTATAAAAGAGTCGATCATTTAGCTGAGCAGTGGTAATTATTAATAGTGGATTAAGTATAGTAAATATTTTGAGTTTGTAATTATGTGAAGAGATTGTTTAACATGTGATGATTATGAGTTACGTGTTTGGAATAAAAATGTTAATTGAGTTACAAAAATGTTATACATGGGTATTCATGCAACACTTGTATATGTTGTTCGGTCGAACGGTCGTATTACTATGCTTATTGTGCAGTAGAACCCATTCGATATGCTCGAGCTGGGAAATCCCTGATGTTGCATGAAGCGCAGAGACGTTTATGACTGACAAGGAAATGAAGAAAGTACAAGCATGAAAAGCCGTCCGATATGCTTAATCGGGGAGATCACGAAAGCACAGAGACGTTCGTGACTGGCAACATAAAGAGATTAAAGCAAAGTCGTTCGGTCAGCTCGAACGGGGAGATCACGAAGCACAGAGACGTTCATGCTTTAAAAAAAATACCAGGAAAGAAGTCCTACGAGATACCGTTCGGAGCCATTCAAGATTCAGAAAAGAAGATAGAGAATTCAGAAAAGGAGATAAAGAGTCCAGAGAAATTCATGACTAGCAATTCGTGCCCACCGTTCGGCACTTGGAGCAAGCTTCACGGGCAGGGGGCGCCTGCAAGACCCTCGGACATTCTTGATTGCGATCGGCCACCCCGGCACGACGTGATCATCATCGTTAAGAGTCTCAGCGGTTAACAACTCTATACTCCACGGAAGGAGACTTATTGTTCGGATCATCATTGACTACTTCTATACTTTCACAATCGGCCACCCCGGCTCGATGTGATCATCATTGAGAGTCCCTGCAAAAAAAAAAGAGACTGACAAGGAATTCAGGGCTCCCTGAGTGTCACCTTGACCACTAGTATAGAAGAACCGAACATTAACATTCATAGAGTCTCACCTCAGCTTGTAATATGTATAGTCACTCCGAACGAATAAATGACTTCCGTGTTAACGGTTTTGAGGGAGCCGCCATCTCAGCTAAAAAAATTTGACCCTGTGATCACGACCAAATAGAGGGATCAAAACGGCTTGGAGGGATTCACCTCAGCTAAAAGATTTTTTGACCCCGTGATCACGAATGATAAAGGGATCAAAACGGCTTGGGAATGGTGTGAGAACAAGTATTGTCAAAGCGAGTGATGTTCGGTAACATGAATTTGTCGTCCAGGGAGGCACTGCTTTCAGAGAGTCTCACCTCAGCTTGTTAACACGTGGAATCATTCCGGATGACCGAATGACGAACGGGTTAACAGCTTGGAGGGAGCCGCCATTTCAGCTTAAGTAGGAATTCACCCGATCTAGTGATCTTGCTTACAGTTTGAATATGGTCACCTCACCCCCCTAGTAGGGATGATACGGATCGAGGAAACTCTTCGGCATGCATCGGAATTATAGGTTTAAAAGGAAAAGAGTCTCACCTCAGCTTTTAACACGCAGAATCATTCCGGATGACCGAATGACGAACGTGTTAACAGTTTGGAGGGAACCATCATTTCAGCTAACAGTTTTTGACCCTGTGCTCACAAACGAATAAAGGGACCAAAACGGCTTGGAGGGATTCACCTCAGCTAAAAGATTTTTTGACCCCTTGATCGCGAACGGATAAAGGGATCAAAACGGCTTGGGAATGGTGTCCGAACAAGTATTGTCAAAGCGAGCGACGTTCGGTAACATGAATTTGTCGTCCGGGAGGCATTGCTTTCAGAGAGTCTCACCTGAGCTTGTTAACACGTGGGATCATTCCGGATGACAGAATGATGAACGGGTTAACCGCTTGGAGGGAGCCGCCATTTCAGCTTAAGTAGGAATTCACTCGATCTAGTGATCTTGCTTACAATTTGAATATGGTCACCTCCACCCCCTAATAGGGATGATACGGATCGAGGAAACTCTTCGGCATGCATCGGAATTATGGGTTTGGAAGGGAGAGAGTCTCACCTCAGCTTTTAACACGCAGAATCATTCCGGATGACCGAATGACAAACGTGTTAACAGTTTGGAGGGAGCCATCATTTCAGCTAGCAGAATTTGACTCGATCAGAACGGCTTGGAGATGGTGTTAGAATTATGAGTGTGGATGAATTTATGTCGCGTCCGGTAACCCTAAATATGAAGCAATCGGGAGTTCAAGATTGGGGAAAGAATCGGGTTTTATTCTTCAAAACACTGCTCGCCGGAAAGTACAAAACAAATCAAGAGTAATAAAACTTGGGCAAGAGATTATGCTACTGAATGATCCATGATCGGGGAAGATAGAGACTGAAAACCGCCAACCTACGCCAGATCATCAGAAACTGCTTTCTGTCTTTAGTATGAGTGGTCTGGATCATCGGAACTATGGGATTGGAGGATGGCCAGTCGAGTCGAGTCGAGTCAATGTTTGTCGAGTCGAGTTGAGTCAAGTCTATGTTTGTCGAGTCGAGTCGAGTCAAGTCCATATTTGTCGAGTCGAGTCGAGTCGAGTCCATGTATGCCCAGGTCAAGTCGAGTCAGGTCCATTCCTTTCGACTATGGCAAGGTAAGGACCATGGCAATGACCATGGCATCGTAAGTCCATATCACAGTAAGGGCCACTTTTTATGCAGCACGAACGGGCTCCACAACACCGTCGGGCCTGATTCTCGGTCGGGCTCGTCCATCCTTGATCTGGGATGACGACCGCCGCTCTTATGCAGCACGAACGGGCTCCACAGCACCGTCGTGCCTGATTCTCGGTCGGGCTCGTCCATCCTTGATCTAGGATGACGACCGCCGCTCTTATGCAGCACGAACGGGCTCCACAGCACCGTCATGCCTGATTCTCGATCAGGCTCGTCCATCCTTGATCTAGGATGACGACCGCCGCTCTTATGCAGCACGAACGGGCTCCACAACACCGTCGTGCCTGATTCTCGGTCAGGCTCGCCCATCCTTGATCTAGGATGACGACCGTCGTTCTTATGCAGCACAAACGGGCTCCACAGCACCGTCGTGCCTGATTCTCGGTCAGGCTCATCCATCCTTGATCTAGGATGACGACCGCCATTCTTATGCAGCACAAACGGGCTCCACAACGTCGTTGTGCCTGGCTCTCGGTCGGGCTCGTCCATCCTTGATATACGATGACGACCGCCGCTTTTATGTAGCACGAGCGGCTGGCTCTACAGCGCCGTCGTGCCTGGTGTGGGGGCTACACCTCACCTGTCACTTATGCATACCTTGCATCCGAGACTATTCGAAGACTGATTCAGGGATGGCAACAAAGGATGTGAGCAAGAGTATACTTTCTCGAGTAGATTTGCAAGCTCACTACTCAAGAAACTGTGGGACTTGTGTTGGGGAATATTATCCCGGCCTACTACTATTCAGAGGCCCAATACACCGCCCCGGTACGGGGCCCGGTCGACGAGGCCCATTTAGGCATACCCGGTCCATTTCAGGCCCATTGGCCCATATTTCGGCCCATTAAGGCCCATCGGCCCGTATTTCGGCCCATTAAGGCCCATTAGGCCTATTGGCCCAAATGAGAGTAACCTAGATCCCCCCTTCTATAAATAGGAGAAGGCATTTCCTTCTCCACGGGATCTGCTTTTGCTCTCTCAGGGGAGCTTTCTTCCCTTCCCCCCTTTACTGCTTCTCCTTTATCATTCTAGTTTAGGAAGCTTATTCAAGCTCCGCTGAAGGAGGTTTCTATACTTGTATTATGTAATTGAGTGATGGGAGGGTAATAATGAGAAAAAGCGGGCTTGGACGTTAGCCTAAAAAGTCCCGTGGTTTTCTCCCTTTCCGGGTTTCCACGTAAAAATAGCTAGTTTATACGCCTTTTATATTTATATTTACAATCTCATGTTGGATTAAAATCAACAGGTTCGATTGGTGAAATTTCTTTAAATTGATATGTATGATGTTCCAAGGACCCAAACAGGTATTTTTGGATTAAGAATGTCAAAGAGTACTTGCATGTAAAATTTCACGTTAATGGGACTCCGTTTGGGCGGTCAAACGGGCGTTGACTGCCAAGTCAACTGTTATACCCGACCGGGTATTGGCAAATACCCGACTGGGTATTTGCTGAAAATTTTCCCTAGGGGCTACTGTCTTCTATACCCGATCGAGTATGGGTATGTACTCGATCGAGTATACACTAAAAATTGGCCTTACGGGCTACTGTCTCCTGTACTCGACCGAGTATAGGTGAGTACTCGATCGAGTATTGGGTTATACTCAAAACGGGCAGTTTTTTGTGTAGGTTAACGTGGGTCGTTCAGGTGGGACCCGCCGACGTTGGTTCCTAAGGATTGTTATATGACTATAGGACTAGGCATTGCCCATAGTTAAAGGAATGAAACATTAGCCTCATCCAGGTTAGGATTTGGTAGAGCGTAGACTGGGGACCGAGTACCCTTGGACGGTAAATGATCCAGAATACTCCAGGTGGGGCCGAGTACCCTTGGACGGTAAATGATCCAGAATACTCCAGGTGGGGCCGAGTACCCTTGGACAGTAAATGATCCAGAATACTCCAGGTGGGGCCGGATACCCTTGGACTGAGGCCGCTACGGAGGCGTGATTGTCCATAACTCTCTTTAACATCATAACTTGTCATTTATGTTTCATCGTTTGACTGTAACGGCCGAAGTGCCCGCCATGTAATGATTGCTGTTAATGGAACATGTTTAAGTTCCTTGCTGTCTTGTCGTCTTGTTCTCTGTTTTTTTTTCTTTCTTTTCAAAATTCGTTTAAGTGTTTTGGAATTGGGACTTAGGAAATTCTCTAAGTATCTGGGCTTTCAGTGGGTGGGTGTTCTTGTCGTCTTGATGTTACGCCCCCTTTCACTGTCGACCGATGTTTTTGGAAAATTTCCTAAGTGTTGAACCAAATGCCACGCGTGGTGTTCTTGTCGGCCTGGGCTTCTTTGTGGCCGCTTTGTTCCTATCCCCCTTATCTAAATAGGAGGTCGGCTTGGATTTCAGTGTTGTGGCCGATAAGGGTAAGTGACCTTTGTCGTCTGATTGTCATGGCCGAAGTGGTTCTCTATGGGACTTGACCTTTCGAGTGCACGGGTTGGTTGTCCCCTTCGGCCTTGAGTGTTTTTGTTTCTTGCCTTAGTTTTTTGAACTTAGAAATTTATCTAAGTGTCAATACATAGGTAACTACCGCACTGCAAGTATTCAGGTGCCCGTTTTTTCTCAAAGTTGTCCCCTTGATTTTCAATACTTTGGAGATTTCCCTAAGTGTTGAGCCATGTAGTTTCTTCTGTGTGGTACCGTTGTCGGCCAGGTTGGGCGATGTGGCCGACGAGGGTACCCGGGTGTTTTGCCTCGTCCTTTGCATCTGTTTTCTTTAGAATCTTCTCTAAGTGTTGGAATTCACTCAGGGAACCTTTTCCTTAGGAATTTTCTCTAAGTGTTTGGGAATCACTTAGACAAATTTTCCCAAAGATTTTCAGCTTGACCAACCGCCTAGGTTGTAGCGCCTGTAATGGCCAGCAAGAATGTTGTGGCCGGTAGGGGTTGCCACTCGTGTGTTTAACTTTCCCGCGGGTGTTTTACCGCCCGCTTCGTCCTTGACACTTTCCTTGTAGTGGGTGGCCGCTTCGTCCACGTCACCTGTTAGTAGTGTTACCTTTGTATTCAACTGATATGTACTTAGCCAAATGTGGCTGATTTTTGGGGATTTATTTTTACTGCTCGAGGCCGGCAAGTGCGCGCAGTCCTCAGCTTCCCTCTTTCTTTTTTTTTTTATTTTTTTTATTTTTTTTGTTTTGTTCCCTATTTCAGGGAGTGTCCTTCTTTCAGGCTTCGGCCGAAGCAGTCGATAGTCCTTCGGCCGGTTTGGACTTCGTTTATAACGTCCATGATCTCAGGGGGGGTCCCGTCGCCTATTTATGACGCGGGCTAGACTTTTGGTTGGTTTCCAACGGCTGCCGTTGCCCATCCCTGAGTTTGGGGATTTTGTCACCTCGTCCATGATTTCAGGCCTATCGTCCTGCGATCAGGCGCGTGGACGACGCGGTGAACTTCCCGTTTCAAGACGCGGGCCGTTTGCGGGCCCCTCGTCCTGGGGACATCGTCGGCCTTACCTGAGTGATTCGCTCTAAGGGGCTGGTACGACGTGCTCTCTCAGCTGGGCCTAAACCTTTCGCTGATACAAGATACAATGGGGCGTACCTGAGCTTTTTGCTCTAAGGCCGCAGATGCCAAGCGCCACATCGGCCATACCTGAGCCTTTCGCTCTAAGGTGGCCGATGAGGGTGCCTGTTAATGTGGTACTTGAATTCCAAGAAATCAAAGGGAACATGATTTTTATTTAAAAGTGGCTCAAGGCCGAGGGTGGCGTTCAATCAATAACCCGTCAAAGGGTGAGGGCTTCGCCGGCTGCACCTCCTTCGGATTATTGATAAAACTTCACCAAATGGTGTACATTCCACGTTCGTGGTACATTGGTCCCGTTGGGGCGTTTAAGCTTGTAGGTACCGGGTTTCACCACGGCACTGACGATGTAGGGACCTTCATACTTCAAGGCTAGCTTGCCTCCTTCCGTCGGCTAACTTGCTTCCCTTCGGCGGAGGACGTAGTCCCCCACTTGGAATTCTCGGGAACGTACCTTGGCGTCATAGTATCATTTCACTTGACGCCGGTAGTTCTCTGCTCGGATGAATGCCTGTTCACGTCTTTCGTCGACCAGGTGGAGGTCGATTTTCATGTTTTCCTCGTTGAACTCTGGGTCATACTGCTCCACCCGTCGGCTGGGAATAGGGACTTCTGTGGGTGCCTTTGCTTCAAAGCCATAACATGTGGTGCTATCGTACTACAGGATGTTGGGGAGCTCGTCGGCCCAACTTCCTCCCGCGTCCTGTAGGTTCTTCTTCAGCCCCTCCATTATGGTTATGTTGGCGTTCTCAACCGGCCCGTTGCCTTGAGGGTAGGCAACAGAGGAGAAACGGTGCTTTATTCCCCATTCTCGAAGGAGCTCTTGGAAGGGCGCCGCTTCGAACTGGGTGCCGTTGTCGGATATGATCTCTTGGGGAACACCAAAACGGGTGAGGATGTTCTTGTGGACGAACTTCTGACACCTGGCCCCCGTGATGCTGGCCAAAGGTTCCGCTTCGACCCACTTGGTGAAGTAGTCGATTGTGACGATGATGTAGCAGTTGCTTCCAGCAGCTCTGGGTAGGGGGCCGACCAGGTCAATCCCCCATCTCGAAAATGGAATGGCAGTGCTGACTGGGGCGTAGTTGACGGCTGGCTGACCAGGGGCCTTTTGGAGCACCTGGCACGTGGTGCATTTCCTGGCTAGATCCGCACAATCCCGCGCCATTGTCGGCCATAAATAGCCCTGGACGACGAGACGCCGGGACATACTAAAGGGGCCCTGGTGTGAGGAGCAAACACCACAGTGAACTTCTTCCATGGCCACGTCGGCCTCGTCCTGGTGTAGGCATCGGAGGAGAGTACCATTATAGGATCGTTTGTAGAGTTTGCCATCTTCAATAGTGTAACTTGGGGCCCTGAGCCTGGCGAGCTTGGCCCTCTCCTCGTCTGGGGGTAGCTCCCCCGTGGTGATGAAAGTGGTGATGTCGGAGATCCAGTCCTCCGGACACTGTTGGATGCACAAGATGGGGCTGGCATGGATGTTGTACATGCTCAGCTCCTCGATCTTGGCCAATTTGGAGATGTGCTCCGGAGTATTCGAGCTGAGCTTGGAGAGGATGTCGGCCACTGCGTTCTCGGCCCTTGGGATCTGTGTGATCTCGTGGGTTTCGAACGCCTTCAGCAACTCCTCTGCTGCCTGTTTGTATTGCTTCATCCGGCCTTCCTTTGCTTCGTACGTACCCTCAACCTGGCCCACTACCAGCTTGGAGTCGCACCTGATTCTGATGTGCCTGGCTTTGAGGCCAGCGGCAAGTCTGAGGCCGCTGAGGAGGGCCTCATACTCAGCTTCATTGTTGGATACCCTGAAGTTGAAGAGGATGACATAGTAAGCTCTGAATCCTTCAAGAGATATGAGGACGCCGCCGCCGCCGCATGATTTCGCGGCCGATGAGCCATCGGTGAATAGGATCCATGTGTCATCGGGCTCTGGCCCGGGGGTGGTAGCAGTTGTCTCCCTTGCCGTGCATTCGGTGACGAAGTCGGCCAAGGCTTGCCCTTTGATAGATGGCCTTGGCTTGATCTCAATCTGAAATTGGATGAGGAAGATCGCCCATTTCACCATCCTTGAGGAGCTAGTGGGGCTCCTCATGAGTGCGCCAAGGGGCTGCTGGGTCAGTACATGGACGACATGGGCCTGGAAGTAGTGCTCCAGCTTTTTCACCGTGTGGACGATGGCTAGCACCGTCTTCTCAATGGGGGAATACCTGAGCTCGGCCTCCCTAAGTGTCTTGCTGATGTAGAAAATGGCCTTCTGCACCCCTTCGTCCTCACGGATGAGCACGGAGCCGACGTGCTCACCCCCAAGTACAAGAAGAGGGTTTCGCCGGCCTTGGGCTTGGAGAGCACCGGTGGGGACGAAAGGTACCTCTTCAGCTCTTCAAATGCTTCCTGGCACTCCGTCTTCCATTTGAAGCTGTTTGCTTTGCGCATGATCTGGAAGAAAGGGAGTGACCTCTCGGCTGACTTGGAGAGGAAACGGCTCAGGGCCGCCAGTCGCCCTGTCAGCCGTTGTACCTCTTTGACGTTGTGGGGCGGTTCCATGTCGATGATAGCCTGTATCTTCTCCGGATTTATTTCGATGCCTCTCCGGCTGACCATGTAGCCGAGAAACTTGCCGCCTTGGACGCCAAAGGCGCACTTCCTGGGCTTGAGGCGGAGTTTGAACTCCTTCACGATTTCAAAAATTTCCCAGAGGTCGTCAGCATGTGTGGTGGCTTGCCTGCTCTTGACAATCATGTCGTCGACGTATGCCTCCATCGTCCGGCCGAGGACTGCTCTAAAGATCTTGGCCACCATCCTGGTATAGGTGGCGCCGGAGTTTTTGAGTCTGAAAGCCATGACGAGGTAGCAAAAAATTCCCTCTGGGGTCATGAATGCCATCTTCTCAGCGTCATCTTCATGCATGAAAATTTGGTGGTACCCCCTGAAAGCATCAAGGAATGACATCAACTCGCATCCCGTCGTCTCGTCCACCAACTGATCAATGTTAGGGAGAGGGAACGGGTCCATGGGGCACGCCTTGTTCAGGTCAGTGTAATCAACACACATTCTGAATGTCGGCGGTTTTTGGGCGAGGACGACGTTGGCTAGCCATGTCGGGTACTTCACCTCCTTGATGTGGTTGATTGAGAGGAGCATGGTGACCTCCCCTTTGACGAAGTCCTGCCTGTCGGCGGATAAGTAGCGCCGCTTCTGCTTGACAGGCGCGGAGGCTGGATCGACGGTCAGCCGATGGGTAATCACCTGGCGGCTGATGCCTGGAATGTCGTTCGGGCCCCACGCGAAGATGACGTCATATGACCGTAGGACGAGGAGGATGGCGTCCCGCTGGTCCTGTGGGAGTTGCTTCCCGATTGTGAGGATCCGCTCCGACCGGGAGGTGTCCAGAGGGACCTCCTCGACCTCTTCGGCCGGTTCGGCATGCGGTCTTTCCTCGTCCTTGGCAACGGCGGCCGTGATGGTGTCTATTCTCTGTCCTTCCCGCTCGGCCGACCTCGTTAGCTTGAGGTAGCATGCTCTCGCTATCCTCTGGTTTCCTCTGGCGTAGCCGACCAAGTGTTTCATGGAGATGATGGCCTCCAAGTCCTCCAGTGCTGGCCGCCCCAGGATCAGGTTGTGGGCGCACTGAAGGTTGACCACCATGAACTCCATGTCAATTTTGGCGCGGTGGGGGCCGTCGCCGACCTCCACGGGGAGGACTATAGTGCCCTCGGCGTCGATAGAGTCCCCGGTGAAGCCGGAGAACGGTGTCTTGATCGGCTTCAGCAGAGCTTTGTCCAGCTTCAGCTGCCTGAAGGTGTCCAGGTACATCACATTGACGGAGTTCCCCGTATCGATGTAAGTGCGGTGAATGATGGAGTCACCGATCTCACACCGGATGACGAGGGCGTCCCTGTGTGATTCCATACCCGGAGGCAGATCCTTGTCGGTGAAGGTGATCGCCTCCGTTCGCTGCTTCTTCGGCTGGGGGGGATGTGGGACACCTCCCCAATGTAAAGGGATTGAGCCCATTTCTTCCTCTGGGTAACGGAGTCCCCCCCCCCCCCCGGTATTCCCACCTACGATGAGGTGAATATGGTTCTTCTTTGGCGGAGGCTCTTGAAAGTCCTCGCCGTCGCTAAGCCTGCCGATCTCCCGCTTCTTCGTAGAGGGTTCGCCCCCAGTTTTGCCGGTGTTTACCCACGTAGTTTTGTGCGGGCCACCTTTAACAAATTGGGAGAGTTCCCCCTGACGAATAAGGCGCTCGATGGCTTTCTTCAGCGTGATGCAGTCGTCGGTGTTGTGTGAGGAGTTCTTGTGAAATCGGCAGTATGTGCCGCCTTGCTGGATGGCAAGGACCTCCTCGGCCGGCCGAGGAGCTTGCTTGATGAGGCCATGCTTCTCGGCGTAGTCGAGGATGGTGCTGACCGGGTGGGTGAGGGGGACCCCCGGCCGTTCCAACCTCGACCGCCAGTGGCAGTCTTTCTTGCTTTGTCCACCAGAGCCGTGACGGCCCTGGGCACCCTGGCCGGCCGAGGATGGTCCCGGGGCCGGCGAAGGATTTGTCTTCTTGGAGGGATGGCCTCCCTCTTTTTTGTGGTTGTGGAGCTCGTCGGCGTCAGCGTACAAGCTCCTGCGCTGAAGCGCCTTTGCATACGACCTTGGAGGGTCGGTGATGAGGCTCCTGGCGTACGGGAAGCTGCGGAGGGCTCCCTGGTATAGGACGAGGAGGGTGCGTGTAACACCCCGGCCTCGTAGGCCTCGAGGTTGTTACTTTTGACCTCTCCGGACTTCTAGTACTGTCCTCACAAACCTCCACTAGCCTTTTCCGCGCACTTTGTCCTCACTCGTGCGCACCCTGAGAAACTTCCCAGGGGGTCACCCATCCCAAGACTACTCCCGTGCAAGCACGCTTAACTTTGGAGTTCTTAGCTGATGAGCTCCCTTAAAAGGAGATGCACCTCTGTTGGTATGAGTAGTACTATTAATCCTCTTAAATTAATCTCGGGTATTACAATCACCCCCACTTAGGATCGCAACGTCCTCGTTGCGCCCATAAACCAATATCAATCATATCCCAGAATCTTTTCCCCTGCTAAGTGCCCGCCCGATATCTAACGGATCAGCACACTGTCGCAAGGGTTGCTCTGATACCATTTGTAACACCCCGGCCCCGTAGGCCTCGAGGTTGTTACTTTTGACCTCTCCGGACTTCTAGTACTGTCCTCACAAACCTCCACTAGCCTTTTCCGCGCACTTTGTCCTCACTCGTGCGCACCCTGAGAAACTTCCCAGGGGGTCACCCATCCCAAGACTACTCCCGTGCAAGCACGCTTAACTTTGGAGTTCTTAGCTGATGAGCTCCCTTAAAAGGAGATGCACCTCTGTTGATATGAGTAGTACTATTAATCCTCTTAAATTAATCTCGGGTATTACAGTGCGCTCATCGGCTCCCTCGACCTCTTCGGTCTCCCTCGTCCACCGATCAATGAATGACCGGAGGGGTTCGTCATGTTGTTGCTTGACGGAGAGGAGATGGGTGAAATACTTCTTCGCACGCTTCCTCCCGGTAAAGTGGGTGAGGAAGCGCTGGGCAAGGTTTTGCCATGAGTCAATACGTCCTTCGGGAAGCGCGTTGAACCACTCGTACGCCGGCCCCTCAAGAGTGGAGAGGAACCAACGGCAGAGATATTCGTCCGACGCGTTCACCATCAGCATGTTATTCTGGTAGCGGCTGAAATGCTCATGGGGGTCTGATCGGCCGTCGTAGGACTTGATGGCGTTTCCCCTGTACTTCTCCGGGATGGGGGCCGAGAGAACCCTGTTGGTGAAGGGGGTCCTGGTCCTGACCTGGATGACGGGGTCACCTCGCCCTTCGGCCAACTCCCTCTCAAGGACGCTGACCTTGTTCATGAGAACGTTGAGGTCAGGATCGTTGGAGGCGCTGGCCGTAGGGACGTTTTCCGATTGCCTGGCTTCCATCTGGGCCAGCCTCCTTTCCAGCTGGGCGATAACCTCGTCCCGGGGATCCCTGGCGGCCGCAGCGGTGCCCTGCTGGTTCTTCATGCGCTCATCGTGGGCCGCATTGATCTGGTGGCGCACGTCGTCCTCGTGCAACTTTCCCTTGCCCTTGTCCAGGCGGAGCTGGTCCGCTGTCCGGGACACAGACCCCAAGCTTTCCCTTGGCGAGCCAGGCCGACGCTCACCAATCCGCCCTGCCATCCTCTCCGAAACCGGACGACGGCGCGTGTCACCTAACCTATTGAAGGCGGAGGCTTTTCCACGCGCTGGGGTCTGCCCAGGCCGAAGAGGGGAAGCGGGGTGAGAGTGGGACGACGCCGTGTCCTGGGCCATCACCCCCTCATCGTTGCCTAACCTGACGGCCAACGGTTGGGGCTGAGGAGGTGGAGTGACGTTCCCCCCAGTCCTTGGCAAGAGTGCGCTGAGGACGGTGGGGTTCTGGGCCAAGCTGGCGATGATGGCCGACAACGCGGCCTGGACCTATGGATCCACAGACGGAGAAGCCGCGGCCATAGGCTGGGCCAGGGCGTGGTCTGTCTTCTCTGCTCGCTTCTTGTCCAGGCCGATACGGGCGTCGGGGGCGCCTCCGTTGAGCTGGTTGCGGAGGTCCGTTGTGAGGTTGATTGCCTCCTGGAAGACGTCCCCTCCGCCGACCTGGT